TAGGTCTTTCTACCATTATGGGACTCAAACCTGAGATTTTTGAAGGATGGCTGTCAATATTTTAGATAAATAAAATAAGCAAAAGAAATGGAAGGAAAGGAAGGGAGGGAATACCCTTTCCCCTTTTTATAAATAGAGGTAGTCCTCAACTTACAGCCTCATTTGAGCACAAAATCTATGTTGCTAGGTGATACAATGGTTAAGTGAGTTTTGCCCCATTTTAGGACCTCTCTACCCTGAATCACTAAATGAATTGTTGCCGTTGTTAAGTTAGCAACATCATTGTTAAGTGAATCTGGCTTCCCCATTAACTTTATGAGAAGGTCGCAAAAGCTGTTTACATGATTCTGAGACACTGCAGCCCTCATAATTATGATTCAGTGGCCAAGCATCTGAATTTTGATCCTGTGACCATGGGGATTCTGCCATAGTCATGTCAAAAATGATCATCTCACCTTTTTTTCAGTGCCGTTATAACTTTGAACGTCACTAAATCAATTGCTATAAGTTGAGGATTATCTGTAACTCTCTGTTAAACATTCTGACATGAGTGGCATTAAGCTGGCCACACCCACCTCGGCCCCCAGAGGTCTAACACAACCCTGATGCGGCCCTCAGTGAAATCGAGTTTGACACCCCTGAACTAGACATTTAAGCTAACAAACTAGTCCATCAACTAGTCGGCTTTAACGTAACTTAAATGTCACCGTGTTTACCCAACCACACAGTGTCCTTCCTGCTTGGATCCTCTCGGAACTTATTTGCTTAGGATTTACCGCTTGTTTACAAAAATGGCAGTTTAGAAATATATTTCCAGGACTTACGTTTTAATAAGTTGCTTGGCAGTCTGGAAGGAGAAAGAGAAAATAAGGTCAACAAGGGACTGAAAAACGTTCAGCTTAAAAAGGCTAAAATCAGTAGAATCATCTTGAGACTCCCAGAATGGATTGATTGGCTGATTGCCCTAATAAAATTTTGAAGTATCAAGACTGACTTAAAGACACACACAGAAAATATTGAAGTGTAATTGTACAGTTGCATGGTGTTGTAATTGGAAATCTTTTATTTTGTATTCCATTTTGGGGTTATTCTAATTACAATGAAAAGCAAAGATCACAATTCACAAATTAAGCCAATAATACCCAACCCTTTATTTTAGGGCAGGCTGGGGAATTCTGGGAGTTGAAGTCCACAAGTCTTAAATGTGCCAAACATGGACACCTCTGTCTCAGGGTTCAAAGTAATTTTACATTCAGATCCTTTCTTATCTTATCTGCATGCCAACTCATCATGAAGATTCAGATGAGTGATAGTAAATAGCAACAGTGTTGAGTTGCCAATATTTTTACTATCATAAATTGGGTGCGCTCCTGCTCAGATGCATGATGCTTCTGTGCATGTGCAGAAGAAGTGTCTGGGCAGGTGGGCGGAGCCTCCCACCGCTACTACCGGTTCGCCCGATGCGGGCCGAACCGGGAGCCACCCACCTCTGAGTAGCACCACTAAGGTCAACCGACTGTGAGGCCTGGAAGCCATCTTTTGCATTGGGCCCTTCAGGCCTGCCACATTTTCTACTATGGCAAATTGGGAGAGGGATTATACGGAGAATGGGAGATATATAGTCTAAATAACATTCCTTTCTCAGAGAGTCAAGGACTTCTTGCCATGCACCTGGAGTGGTGTGACTGGGAGACATCCCCAGTTGGGACAGTGCCTGATTGGACCATGTGAGGGACATGTGGGTACTGGGCAGGGGCTTGGACTTTCATTTGGGTGGGGAAAACCTGGAAACTTTCAGATTCGGGTTGTGCCAATATGACATCTCTAATAAAATGGAACTTTGAGGAACCTTAAGCCTTAGAGTCTTCTTTTGTTGGGGGTGTTACTTGGAACCCTGATACCGGCCAAGTTTCCTGGCTGATCCATGATATCAATCTCCTACGTAGATCTCCAGTTTTGGCTATCTTGGTCTGGGAATTTGGGATTTCAAAACCTACACAGCTGTCGATGAATGGATCTCAACGTACAACATTTTCCCTCACCATGAGAAAAGCGGCTCCTCCTTCTTCCTCCATAGACTGAATGGCACTCTCAATCAGCTTGCTGGATGTCTCCAGTTGCTCTTTATACTGTTGGATGAGGTTCTGCATGAACCCAGCCTTCTCCTCCTGCTCCTTGGTGATGCGCTGCAGAAGGTTCGTCCTCTTCTCCTCAAGGACAGCAATGAGAGCTTCAAACTTCTCGCACAAAGACTGCTTAGCCAACTGACTGTTCTCCTGTCACAGAGAGAGAAGAATGAAAGAAGTTGAGTTGGTTCCTTCTGAACAAATCTCACTTAAGAAGCAACCATCTGGAACTCAGTCAAGAGCGCAATGTTTTATTTGCGTGTGCGTGAAACCATCCCCTCTCCCCACCGGCCCCCGGGCTGCCGGTCCATGGAGCCAGAAAAGTTGGGGTACCACCAGGTTAAAGGACAAATGGATGCATCTGCAATGTTTTAAGCTTCGTCCATTTTAACTCTAGTGGTTTCTGCCATTTAGTGTGCTGTGCAATTTAGCCTAATTTCTAATTACCATGTTTCCGTGAAAATAAGACAGGGCCTTATTTTCTCCCCCCCCCC